TCTAGTCCAGGCCTATGGTGGGCCTGCAATACTGGGCTCACCCCTTGTATACATACAGGAGCCCTCAACCAAACCAAAGACTTCTGTGTGCTGGTCCAACTGATGCCCCGTGTATTGTACCATCCAGCGGGCTATCTGGAGGACATGTACGGTTCTCATCAGACCCGATATCAAAGGGAACCAGTGTCCATAACCCTAGCTGTTCTGTTAGGGATTGGGGTCACCGCAGGGATTGGTACAGGGACCTCGGCCCTGGTCCAAGGTCCACAACAGTACAGCAAGCTCAAAAATGCCATGACCGCAGATTTAAAGGAATTAGAAAAATCAATAACCAGGCTGGAGGAATCACTGGCCTCCCTGGCAGAGGTAGCCCTCCAAAGCTGGAGAGGACTAGACCTATTGTTTCTAAAAGAAGGAGGACTCTGCGCGTTGCCCTCGGAGAGGAATGCTGCTTCTATGTAAACCACTCAGGAGTGTAGGGAGCTGCAGAAAACCGCACCCAAAAGATGGCGCCGGTTTCCGCCCTCCGCCAGCCCGACGGCGAGCGCTCTCTGTGGTAAACAACTCCAAATTAGGTAAAGGTCATGTATCCTCTTAATTCTGCTTGGAGACAACCTATCCTGGCGCGCCATGTAGGGTTAGGTGATTGGTAGATGTAGACTATATCAGGCCCTGTCTCCCTCGGCTGCGGCCGCCGCCATTATACATTGTACAAAGCAAAGAGGTTCCCGATTAAACTGTGTTTGAAGAAGATTCCTCGGTGTGGCGTCTTTCTTGCTGGTCAAGGGTGGACGCCGCACAGGAGTAATTAGGGACTCCATGACAAAACTCAGAGAGAGATTAGCTAAAAGACAGAGGGAGGCCGAGGCTCAACAAGGATGGTTCAATAGGACCCTATGGTTGACTACCCTAATTTCCACCCTGGTAGGACCCCTGTTCATTCTCCTCTTACTCCTGACATTTGGCCCTTGTCTCCTCACGAGGCTCCTACAGTTTATACGTGAAAGGTTATCCATCACTCAAGCCCTCGTCCTAACTCAACAGTACCACGCTGTGCCAAGTGCTGAGGTCCCTGATGTTTCTTCTAACCCAAATCTGTAAGTTTTTTTTGCTAGGATTCAAGAACACATCTAAGTATC